ATGGAAATATCCTTGCGCTCAAGTTATATTTGATTCAGATCCTGCACCAGTCGGTAAACAAGTTCCTGCACAAATCGAAGAAATGTCACAAGCTATGATACGGTCATTATCAACAAAAAGCTTTCTTTTAATTTCATATTTCCATGTATATATATTTATTTATATTTAGAGGTGTCATGGATGAGAGTGGTGAACAATTTGTGGCATATTTCTTACCAATGGAGAAAACGCTAGAAAAACGTCTTAATGATATTGCAAATAATGTGCTGTATACAGACGATGTTGAGTACGAATATAAAATGGCTCGTGAATATAACTGGAATGTTAAAAGCAAAGCGTCCAAGGGTTATGAGGAAAATTATTTCCTTGTTGTGAGACAGGATGGTGTATATTATAATGAATTAGAAACTAGAGTTCGTCTCACAAAAAGAAGACAAAAGGCTGGATCACAACCTAACAATACTAGGTAATCAGATATTATAAACAACACTAATGTTAAACATACATATTAAAATTCACATTACTACAATAAATTATTAAATTTTTTAGATTGGTTGTCAAGCATAGACCTCTTGAATCAAAGGAACATCGTGTCCAACGTTATCGCGAACGTCAATTGGAACCACCTCGAGAAGATGATGAGGAAGATGAGGAAGAGGATGATGATGAGCTTGATGCAAACAATGAAAATGAAGACCAGCAATCACAGGTATTATATATATATATATATATATATATATATATATATATATAACACAATTCTTGGTTAAAAACAAATGTAGATATTAAGAAATTTATTCAAAATCACACCATGAATATGAATTGAATGTTATTGTTTTATAATCATTCATATCAATTCACACATTCTTTCCAAAAAATATATATCCTTGCATGTCAACAATATTCTGTTTTAACAACTCAATAAAATCACCTCTATTTTTCATATAGGAAAGTATTACAAAACAGGGTGAGAATGATGAAGACGAAATGAATGCAGATCAGAATCACAAAACTCAGAATGGGGTTCAAGGTGACGAATCTCCTGGCTCAAATCGTAGCCATAGAGCAGAAGTCGGAGTAAAAGCAATAGCAGAGCTGGAGTGGAAGCAGGAGTAGAAGTAGAAGTGGGAGCAGGAACAGGAGTAGAAGTGGGAGTAGAAGTAGAAGTAGGAGCAGAAGTAGAAGTGGTAGCAGGAGTAAAAGTAAAAGCAGGAGTAGAAGTAAAAGCGGTAGTCGAAAAGTAAAAGCCCAAGTAGAAGCAGAAGTAGAAGCAAGAGTAGAAGTAGAAGCCGTAGTAGAAGTAAGAGTCGAAGCAAGAGCAGAAGTAGAAGCAAAAGCCCAAGCAAAAGCAAGAGCCGAAGCAGGAGCAAGAGCAAGAGCCCAAGCAGAAGCAGAAGTAAGAGTCGAAGCAGAAGTAGGAGCCAAAGCAGAAGCAGAAGTAGAAGTAGAAGCAGTAGCAAAAGTGGAGCTAGGTAGTTTTCTCAAGCATTATTCTTTGAAGTGGTGTAAATAAGGAACATATAATTATTCAGATAGCTTTAATAATTTATTGAACATTTTCCTTAAATTTTAATTTATTATCTGTTATGAAATTGTGCTTAAAACATTGATCATACAAACTTTTACTGCAATGATTTATGAGCTAAATATTGAAATAAAAACCGTAATTGCTGATAATTGATTTGAAAAATTACCATTTATTGTTAGAAGCGGAAGAAGCAGAAGCAAGAGTAGTAATGCGAGCAGTAGGAGTGGTAGCAGAAGTAAAAGTAGATCCAAAAGCAAGAGTTCTTCCAGGTATTTATCATAAATGATATTAAGATATTTTATGGATAGTATATCTACTATAAAATGTTATAACAAATTTTGCTATGTTAACATTTTCATTGAACTAAAAGCCTTAATTTGCAGTATGCAATTTCTTTCATATTGCATAAAAAGCATCCTTCTGAAAAATATCTTTTGAAATGATTTTTTTTCAATATCTAAAATATTGCCAAAATTCATATTGCCTTAGTATTAGTTTTTCCAGTTTTTTTTTTTTTTGTTTCTTTTATATCTTGGTGGGGGTGACTACTTTATTATTTTTTTTGCTTTATATATTTATATACTTTTCAAGCATTTTTGAATTTGACTAGTTTTATAAAATGTTTGTTACTACATTTTGATATAATGTGTATAAAAATTGAACTTGTAAGTTTAAGCCTAATTTTATTACTTATTTAGATTTTGTGACAAGAAAGATTACAAATGCGTGATTTTTAAAATACACAAAAAATTTCACCGATTTTGTTATGCTTTATTTCAGATCGCGTTCCCGATCACGTTCCGCATCGGCTCAGAGACGATCTTCTGCTGCAAGTTCACGTTCAGGGTCTGAATCTGAAAAAAGTCACTCTGACAGTGATTCAAAATCTGATTCAGGATCGGATTAATAATATGTACAATTTTAACAATTACGCAGTATGTATGAATATATCATGCATACTTAAATTTTTCTGTATGCAAGTAATTATATATATATATATATATATATATATAATATATATATATATACAACAGTAATCTGAATGTGTATATACATGTGTACATTTTTTTTTTTTTATTATAAACTAATAAACAATGAAGTGTTAGAAGCAGTTATTCTTCGTAGGGAATTTTGTGTATTTATGTGCAGTAATTCATCACATCAATAAAGCAATAGGGAAAAAATGACATTACATATTTAAATTGAAATCATGTTATTTTAATTCATAACATGGATATTTAAGTCATTGTCACATGGATCAAAAGGTCAACAATTTGTATTTTGTTTTCATAATTCACTTCTGGTTAGAACATTTATTTATATTTTTGTGGTCATTTATCACTTTGACATTTTTTATATGAGTTTACTCATTCAACTGTTACAGAAATGTGCTTGTTTGAATTAATGTTTAGTGTCTAGTACAATATTGATGATTCGTAACTAAATAATTATATTTACCTGTAGTATTAACATTTAATTTTGAACACCACGATGCATCCTTATGGGAAAGTTAAAACTTTTTTTTTTTAATCTTTTTCCTACGAGAGTTCCACAGGAGTGTCGATCAGTAGCTATTGAACGGATCAATCATAATAACATATTTTAAGATTTTTCGATCATCATCAATAAAAATGAACCCATTTAAAAGTTAAATGTAACACTACTAAAGATCTAAAAATTGCAATAAAAATTTAAATTCTCAATAGTTCTCATATTGATAAATTTGTAGCAAAGGTTGACACACATATCATCTGTCATCCATAGACAACTTCCGTATACACAGGTAGTCGAGTGGATGTCGACCGTGAACGACGCTCTTAGCGAAAGGGTTAATTAACTGCGAATCGGCGGAGCCGTAGCAAGACATTTGCATTTAAGCTGGTATAATACAAGAAATAATTTAAAAAATGGGTATATAATACGATTAATAATTTTTTTTGTATGGGACAATAGACACTTCAGGAGAAGCCAAAAGCAAAAAAATGCAGTTATCACGGAATGATCTGTATTACTTTGCACGCCGTTAAGTTTTTGCCCAATATTTTTACTTGATTATTCGAAAATGAAATCAAGCAGCCAAACGTCCTGGCGAAAAATGGAGAAAATAAGATAGACTGACAAATATATAAGTTCTGCAAAGTGTGAAAAAAGAACTCATGGTTCTCGGTACTATGTTGAAAAAGGAATTGAACTTTCTTTGTAAGGTTGTTGAAGGATTGAGGAAGTAATCATATGTTCGATAGTACAGGAAAACGAACTTTGAAGAACACACGCAGAAGCATAGAAGCAAAATACGAACTATAACTCTCTGAAGTACGCTATTGACACGAATAATATTTTCGTATATATTAAATATTTATGTAAATTTACACAATTTATATTGTAATTATATATACATATGATATAAAAACACTGTTTTATTTTGAATCGTCAATGATAACTTTTTCACTCCAGGTTATAGCTGGTGAAAATATACAGGGATTATATATGGATGAATAGTTTTTGAAAAATATAATCATGATAAAGAATTTCCATTTAATTTATACAGATTTTTTGAATTATTCTGAATTATGTTTATGCTACTTGTATTAATGCAAAATGCCACTTACAATTAGCTTTTTCTACAATTAGCAATTAAATCATCTAACCTACTTTTGCCTTTATGGTGTTTTTCATACGTGACGCGTATGAAAATTTTTACTATTATAGATGCCTAGATAATAGTTAACTGCTAAAAAGAAACCTGCTTCTTTGCCTATTTTATTGTTAGTTTTTCGGCAAGGTCAGCAGATCTTTAGAAAACCATGAAAACTAATTTTTCACTAAATCATTTTTAGTTTCAACTTAATATAAACTATACCCAATCGCTGCATGATCGGGAAACATATGGTGGTTGGAACGTGGTCCGGTAATGTAATTGCGTTGTGACTCACCGGTGAGTCACGCGGTCTTGAACATGTTTTAAATTTTTGGCGGTTATATATATATATATATATATATATATATATATATATATATATAAGACAACGTCGGAAAGTTAGAAAAAGTAGCTAGAAAACCGTGGAAAACCCAGGAGATGATAAAGAAAATGGATAAAAGTACAAATATACAGATTCGAGGATGTATAGAAAATTGAATAATGAATTAAGGGTTAACAGGATAATGAAACATCAAAAACAAGGTAGGTATGATTTAATGTTTCAGGTTACAAAGGAAATGGACTGTAATAAAAAGAAAAGCAGAAAAACATACAAAATGGAAGACGACAATGGAAATAGAGTGAGTGACCACAAGAAAATTTTTAGTGTATGGGAAAAATACATTGAGGAATTGTACGATAGAGAAAATCGTCCTGATAATATTGAGATTGAAGAAGAGAAAGAAGGGGACAAGGACGACAAGGAACCGTGCATATTGAAAAGCGAAGTCGAGAGAGCAATAAATGAGATGAGAAAATAGAAAGCAACGGGAAATGACGACTAACAACGGATTGAGGAAACTGACCAAATTGTTGAATCAAATATACCGAACGGGCGAATGGCCTAAGGACTTTCTGGATATCACGATGATAGTTCTTCAGAAAAACCCCAAAGCGAATAAACGCAGTGACCACAGGACGATAAGTTTAATTTCGCACACAGGAAAGGTTGTGGCCAAAATCCTTACGAGACCACTTAAAAATAAAATCGAGCAGTACATGAGCGAAGACCAGTTTGGTTTTAGAAAAAGAAGAGGCACCAGGGACGCTATTGGAATATTAAGGATAATGTCGAATAGATGTCTCGACGTTAAGCAGAACATATACTTCTGTTTATAGATTGGCAGAAAGCTTTTGACAGAGTCAGCTGGAATAAGCTTATGGGAATTTTAAAATCTATTAACGTCTATTGGAGGGATTGCAGGCTGATCCAAAATCTATATATGGGACAGAAAGTAAAGGTTCGAGTGAACCAGGCAGATACAACAGCGTTGAAATAGGTAGAGGAGTGCCGCAAGGATGCACAATTCTGAAAAGAAGAGGAAACTGGATCGGCAAAAAGAGTGTCTCTGGCAAAACGTCGTTGAGGGTAAAATAGAAAGAATTCGGCAAACCATTGACGGCTTACGCGAGAAGAGAAAATACAGGGAACTGAAAGCCGAAGCACATGATCAAGAAGCACGGAAGCAGAAGTTTGGAAAGGAAAATACATGAGAAAATAGGGGAGGGGGAATAGTGGTAATGGGGATAATAGATGAAGGGTAAGGGAATCATTATTTGTGGCGGCTTTCACACTATCCCACACAGCACATGGTTGACATAGGGTCAACCTATGGTCGTCACAATGGGCTGTAGGGTTAACCTATGGTCAACCAACTGGTACCATATATGAACATAGGTGAACCCATGGCGGCACATATGTCAGAGCCCTGGTTTGACCCATGGTCAACCCGACGGGTTCAATACGGGTATGCTATGGGGCTGGAATGGTATCGCGATGGGTCAAAATGGCGGTATATAGTGCAACAATTGTTGCATACTTTCCGTGCGTATTTGTATTAAATATAAATAATCCATATAGTTATAAAAATCAAATGAACTAAAACTGCAACTCCATAAGTAATATATTTATTAAAAATAATTTCATTTACATTACTAGAAAATAACTAAATTAAACTAACTTAACTAAATTTTTGGTGATTATTATCCTAAAACCTATTATTTTCTATGTATAGTATTATTATTATTTATATAATTTAAACTAATTATTCACATTGGGTTCACCATCTTCTAAAGCACTGAAAATAACAAAATTTGAATTATAGTTTTACAGGTTTATTTTATCAAATAAAAAATGTTAGTTGACATTTTCGAAATATGTGGAATATATTTCAACTTACGGAAAATGCAAATAAATCTGTCATGGGCATGACGGTATATGTATATTTAGCAGTATATATAATTGATTTGTCCACTTTTATCCATTGGGTAACATCATATTTAGCGATATCTCTGCTATTCTCACATCTGTCAATAGCTGCTCCACATCTAGCAGTTCTGCCTCTGTCCGAACAGGAAATTTATTATAAACTGCCAGTGTATAATCAGGCAAATCATCCTTCATATCACACTGGCATCACTGCTTATTAAGCCTATATTCATTAAAACCTGGTGCCGTAATGAATCAGCCTTTTTATTAATATTGAATGTAAAATCTGAACAATATACAACCTTATACTGAGGTTTACCACAATATTCTATCAAATGTCCTTCGAAATGCATAGACATCTCACAAGCTCTAGGCATGGCTACAGGCCTTACATGTTTTCCCATAAAAAGTTCTTTTACCTCAAAGTATCTTTCATAACTTTGCTGCAATGGTTTCTCTGACTTCCGTATGTATTTTTTCAAGACCTGCATGTAATTCTCAAATTTAAAGGCACTAAATGAATCAAGTGTACCAAAACTTCTGGTGTCATTAGCTAAGTGTAAAATGTTATATATATTATGACTTACATAATGATCTCCATATAAACCTTAAATCTTTCAACAAAATGATGAAGTAGTTGCTGAGCATAATCTAAAAGATCATTTAATAACGTGTTGCTACATAAAATTTTAATAGCAATATGTAAAGTAAGAAAATTTTTATAAAAGTCATTTGAAATATGACATGAGATTTCAAAACTACTGGACCACTATACAATAATAATTGTCTAAATTCTGTAGCTTTCCATGGTCTCATATATTTCAATGATCGAGGCTTCCTAGCAAAGTCCTTGGATATATAAATCTTTAAGCTGCATAAAAAATTGGAAAAGTCATTAGTTTTAGCACATGGCAAACGAATTGGAAGCTCACCTTCAGTCCACAAAAGCATCAATCTCTTAACTGCTCCTAAACAAATCAAATTCATATAGTCAAGTGGTACATTAGTAACTAAACAAATGTACGGTATTTCAAGCAATCTCGTATAGCCATTGTGGTAGTCTTCATCTTCTAAGCTTCGAAAGTGTTCAGCTGTTCTTGCAGGTGATTGCATTTTTGGAAAGCAAATTCTGCGATTAATATTTGAACCACGAGCAAGACATTTCGAGCAACAGAAGCAGCCTGTGTGTCCCTTTTCTGCAATATAAATGATTTGGCGGGAGTATCACAAACAAAATATTTGATGCGTACCTTATATTGTTTCCCATTGTGATCAAAACCCTCAGTGCTTAATAGACCAAGCTGACATGTTCGAAGAATTCGAGAGAGGCAAACCATCTACATTAATTTCTAATTCAATGATAGAAGATATCAATTTCAACCTATCAATAGAATCTTTCAATCCAGTTAATAAACCAAAATGAATATATTCACCTGGACTTACAACTTTTGATACAGCAGTTCTTTTTGTTTTCAGAAGTGTTCTACTATCTGCTGGTAAATCACTGAAACAATCATGAAGTTTTAGCCCTTCAAGTAGTGCGAATACAGCATTATGAGGTATCTGACAATTCACAACCCAGTCTGCTAAAAATTGTCTTGCATCAAAAACTTCAGTTATATCTTCATTGGAACTATCCTCGCTATATGAAAGAGAAATATAATCATTTGTTTCAACATCACCCTGTAACTCTGCCTGGCAAGAAGACGGTCCTTCAAAGTCATCTCCAATAGAAGCATTAGTCGCAGTTTCAATATTATCTATTGTAAAAGCACTAGTACTAGGCAATCCTTTACGCATTCAGAGTTCTGCAAAACACTTTCCGAACGTAATTTCTGCACTTCCCAAAAAAGTCTTCTATAAAAATGTCTATCTGACACAGTCGCAATGTGTTTGCGAATTTTTTTATCAGACATATATATTTATAGAATTTTTTTTGACAAATTACAGAGTCAAACGACAAACAAATTACGAATATATTATATTCTAATATTGTTTAGAATTTTAGTAGCATAAGTATACGTATACAGTACTCAGGTTATATTTGTTCATCGTGTTTATCTATGACAGTCATGAGAACAGACAAAGAAATACAAATGCCGAACAACATAAGTGCCGCCATCTGTGCGCTAGTTGTGCAAACGCCGCGCACGCGTATGCGCATGCGCGGTATATTTGAATACATTTTTCATTTGCCCATAACAACTCGGTGAGTAATGGGTCAGAGTAGGTCGACCATTGTTTGACCCGGCGCGTAACGTATGGGTCTAAGCCCACTGCGTCATAAATTGGCCCATAATGGGCTTATAATAACCCGGTAGGCTGTAAATGGTACCAAACAGGTCGACCATTGTTTGACCCGTGCTGTATGGGCACTTCTTCAATCATTACAAATTGAATAGTATTTGGATCATCAAAACGGAACTCTGTTCTCTCAAAAACTAGTTTTTCTATATTCTGCACTCATTGCTCCCAATCTACAAAATGGCTGGACCTGCTTTAGCCAAAAACTAATCAGCACATCTTCCTATCAACAAAAATCGAATGCATTGCGAACCATTCAAATCGGTTGATCCGTGCGCCCGCAATCGTGGACGAAAAATTGCGGACACACAAAATACACACTCACACACACACATAAATTTTTTAGGTATGCCAAAATGTTCAGAAACATCCAAAGCATGAAGATATGCAAAAACTTTCATTTTCGATTTTCGACCCATTACTATAACTACCCTACGGGAAGTTAATAATACAAAGCGCACAATCTAAAATATTAAGATGCATTGTGAACGCACTATGGTATATTACGTACCACACTCTACATAAAGACTTGTAAATAAGAACTATTAATGAAGTAAAAAACGAATAAAGTAAAAAATACCACAAAAAATTACCAAGTCACTAAAAAAATTGTGTGACGAATCTCCTATTCGAAGATTTAAAAAATGGCCATACGATCTCAAATAGGATGTTAAAAAAGAAGATAATCTCTTTAAAAGCATCGTCCAAAGACCAGCAAATTGTCTTAAAAAATAATGTATATTTTGATTGACAATAAATGAAATGAATACATGCACAAAAAAATCTATTCTATATTCCGTAACTATCTGTATCCGTAAGACTGCGACGCAGCGCTAACGCGCATTGATATTTTATGCAGCACATTTGCTTTGAAAGAGAGGTTCAATATTTTCAATAATGCAATTTTTTTTCAAAAGGTTCAAAATTCTCACAAATCTGATTTTTTCAAATTTTTCAAAAAAGTTTAAACTAGGCTTGCAACGAATAGCGAATATTCGGACACTATTCGGCAGGTTTTTAGCACCTAAGCTAATTTGTATTAATGTAATTACTATCAGTAATTGTTATATTGCTAATGCGCTATATATTCATTCAAGTTTTATGCCTAGACTTGCAACCGCTATTCTGCTACTCTTTGTTATTTAGAAAATAAATGGTATAATCATAGATAAGTAAGCATAATTATGAAATGGGTATAATTATGAAAAAAGCTATTCTTTACATATACGTAAATGTATTTTCAATTATTTCTTTCATAAACATCTAATATTTTCTTTTATAAACTCAATATTATTTTTTATATATTGGGAATGCTAATCATAACAAAATAAATAAAAAATGACCAAAAATATTGTTTGTATATTTTGCGATAAAGAGCCAATAAAGGTTCTGATTAAAATGCTTAGATTTCATATAATGAATGACTTTATTGTATTGATACAACACATGCGTGTAATCATTAAATGATTCATATTAAATAAAATTAACATGTAACAATAAAGTATCTAGTAAATATTCAGAAAAAAGTTCTTCACGTGATCATTTATAATGTCAAAAATCAATAAAGTTTAAATTATATATAATATAATAACGAATTTATTTCTTCATATCATATTATGTAAATAAACGTACCATATTACGGGATGTTAAGGAACGTTGACTTTAAAGACGAATTTTAGAGGAAAATAGGAAAGTGGACGAACTAAATCTGTTATATTTATTAATTAGACTTTTAAGAATATTATAAAAACAAGATTTTCGTCGTAGAACGTCATTTATAGAAATAATCGGCATTTTGCTGAACCACGCGTTTGTCCCTAATTCCGTGATAAAATTCGGCTCGTGAATATAATGCCGGGAGTCGTTGTACGTTATTCCGTGATAGCGCACGATGCTTACATTTTGATCGTATTGCCTTGATAATATAGTTATAAAAAAGGGTTATAAAAAGTGCCGTTAATTATGAAATATAGAGCAAAAAAAGAGAACGAAGCGCACAGGAGACAACTAACATACAGGCCTTTCCCAACACCTGCGCCGCTTACGAAAAATTTACACGTAACTTCGGAACCGACAACAAGAACACTTTTTAACTCCGGCCATAACCCTGTTTTTTTGACTATCACTTAGAGGCTCAATGTCGGCCTTTTTTCAGAGACATTATTACAAATAACATTCTATACACGATACCTATTGAGTCAGACATCGAGGTGGCTGCGATACATCTGACACAGACTCTTTCCAACGAACAATACCGATACGAGACTCAAAAACGACATCATTTAACAAACTGCCCGAATAGATAATTTTAAAAATTAAATTAAAAAAATACACAAGAAACTGTGGCAACTTGCTAGTGACAGACCACTAAAAGGACACGTAAACAGACAAGCAAAATGTATTCTAATGAGATACGCGATCACCGGAACAAAATTCGGACTAAAACATAAACACTGACCCACTCAAAGTTGGGCAAACCGCTATAAAAGGTTGACGCGAAAAAACATCAACCATACCGCCACTCAAACTAGCTGAAAAACAACGACGTCACGACAGCAGCAGACAAAGCGGACTATTGGCAATAAATTTGAAAACATCAACAAACAAAATGCTAATAGTCATATGGAGATCTGAGATGAATGTACACGAAATGCAAAATATTACGGAACAATTTAACGACAAGAACTTACGTATATCCCTGCCACAGTTTACGAAACCAAAACAATAATCAGAAAACTATAAACTATACCGAGCAGAAAAGCACCCGACCGAACATACTACAAAACATTATAAACAACTATCAACAAAGTGAATAACAGTAATAAACACTACTGACTCTAATAACAAACAAAACTAGTGGTCAGTGGCGTCGAAACCAAATTTTTGATGGGTGGGCTCGTTTTTTTTTTTTTTTTAGATAGACAGCCAGTGGTCTCGTTTTTTTTTTTTTAAAGAGATATTAGGCCATATAATTTTTTGAAATTCATGGGTGGGCTGAGCCCCCCCATCAAAATTCATGGGTGGGCTCAAGCCCACGCAGCCCGCGTTGTTCCGACGCCACTGCTAGTGGTGTATGGCATCGTGCCTTAAGGCAAATTGCTGGTACTTCCCGTACCGTAACAAAATGTTCGCGGAATATTAAATGTTTTCCAATAGATTATTACAAATATTGTAACATTGTCTAATATTTATAACAATTATATAAACTGAATTGCAAAGTTGAAATTATTTGTTTAAAGTATATAAGTGAGCTTTAGAACTTTAGCAAGAATTAAAATTAAAATTCAATTCGGATGCTTCGTTCTCACAAAATCTCGATTTCTGCATACTTTACTCTGTATCTCCGTAACGGCTGGACCTGCCTTTGCCTAAAACTAATCAGCACATCTCCGTATCAATAGAAATTAAAGGTTTTTTGAACCATTCAAATCGGTTGTTTCGTGCGCCCGAAAGCGTGAACAAAAAAATGCGGACATACAAAATACACACACACATCAATTTTTTCTGAGGCATGCCAAAATGTTCAGAAACCTTCAAAACGGGAAGATATTCAAAAATTTTCATTTCCGATTTTCGGCCCATTACTATAACTACCCTATGGAAAGTTAATAATGACGAAAGTCTATTTTTCTACTTCGTGAAAAACTTTCACCTTATTTTTATTATTGAAGTCAAGGAAAAAGCAAAATCGTAAAATTACAGACTATTAGCCTCCTCAATACAATGAGTAAAGTGACTGAAAAGTTAGTACTCAAACCACTAAACAAACACATAGATATATTAAAATCATGCCAGACACCAGATATGGATTTAAATCTATCTAGCACTCTACATTTGAAAACACCATCAACTTCAACAGACGAAACCATACCGGATTGGTGTTGCTTCGAGAAGGCTATTGACACAATCTGGATAAACGGACTACTACATAAACTCACAATCCTGAATTCTCCACTCTACATCATAAAACAACTTCATTCATACTTTACAGACCGCAATTTCACCGTGCAAATAGACAACACACATTCGACAGTTAAACAAGTGACGGCGAGAGTACAAGAGGTTCAATCCTGGGACTATCACTGTTTAATGTCTACATTCGTGACATTTCCACTGACGCCAACACAATACTACTGCCTTGCTTATTTATCTATGACTACAGCCGTTCGCTGATGACACTGCCATTTTAACTTCCCGAGCGAAAAGTTTGTTATCATCAAAAAATCCGATTCGCAAATTTTTCTCGACGTTTCAAGCCATTTTGAATCGAATGAAACCAAATTTGGAAAAAGCATGTGTGTGTGAACAGATTTTTTATCTTGAATGGATGTTTTCTCAAAAACGGCTGATTCGATTCCAAAAATTTAGAAGCCATTCGATGTATCTTGATTAGGACTATCGTTTGTCAGTTTTACGCGACGATCTGTGAAGCCGTTTCTTTGAGAATAGCAGAAAAGTGAAAAATTTTCGTCCAAGGATGTTACTATTATTATTATGGAGTGACCTTGGACTACAGACTCAGCTTCATCAATCATACCCATATCAAAATTAGACAGACGTTCAGTAAATATACTGATACTTTGGAACCATAACAGCCCGCTGAGCGTGAGAAACAAGCGGACACTTTACTTGACATTAATGCTACCAATACTCTTGTACGTCGCTCCAGCAAGAAACGCGACAACAAAGATTAAACTATGGCGACTACAGGCTGTACAAAACAAAGCTGTACGGCTATTACTTAACAAATCCAGAGACCCACTTACGAGACACTATCGACAAAATACATACATGACCAAATAAACAAGCTCACAGGGAACAGTTACCTCAAATGTAGGGATCACCCGAATAGTAATATCGCAGCCCTTGCCCAATATTCGTCCGAAATAGTTTGATATGACAAACACGATATGCCAAATTATGGGACCGATTCTGCCGCATAACAGACAAATGTTATTGCAAGGTTATGTTATGAAAAACTTTACAAGCAAATTCGTTCTAAATATTGATAAAAGCCATGGGATTGCTGTGCAGTCAGACGAATTTCTTAGGTTGTCAGATAGAAAACCTAACCTAGAAACAGCAAAAAATGGCAAAAAGATTTAAAAATTTAAAAATTTTATTTAAATACTTTATTTTATTAGATTGTATTTTGAAGCAATGTTCTTTAATACTATGTTTACCCAGTAAACCACAAAACGTAACAAAGCCATGAACGTTACGTAACGCTGGCACGTCCGCACGAACCAGGTACGTAACCTGGGAGGCACACAGAAGCATCTATTTCGCGGGCAAGAACGTAACGGCTGTTTCGTTGCACACTAATACACCGCGGTTACATTTTTGCTACGTATCTAAATTGAATAAAAAAGGTGTCTTTTATGTTACATACTTATTTAATTAAATTTCCTGCAAATATAGAATATTAATAATAATTTCGGATATTTAGTAATTTTATTAAATATTATCATTTACAATATACAAAATTTACATATTACATAGTTAACATTAGAAAACTAAAATTTGATAGTCCATAAAATGTTAGCCTATAAAAATAATTATTTATTTATTCATAATATGTATTATGTTTAACTCTCTTGGCAACTTCAGTTAAATCAGACTTGGCAAAGTTAAGTCTTGCGTTAAATATGTTCAACTCACTTGCATCTGTTAATGTATCTAAAATAGAACCAAACATCTTAGAAACATTGTACACAAATTTTGAATTGAAAACATTGTGAACAAATTAGTCATTTGTGAACATTACCTCTAAACATACTCATTATTTGAAGTTAATGACTATGTAGTTCCTACGATCATATGACAGAGATAATTATTCCATGAACACACACTCAATTTTCTTGCATTGATTTTATCCTATTAATTTTCAAGATCTGAATTACCTAAAAGTAAAACACTACAAATTAGTACTAAATCATATTAGTTAAAATTCTCTTCACGTAGAACCTTAATATACCAATTCTGTAATGCAAGATCATCAGGCTCGAAATACTCAACAATTCATGTTCTCTTCAACACTTAATCCATATAATGTGTGATATGCGGTGCATTCTTTGTTTTCCTTCTTGAATGTTTTTAAGTCTTGCTTGTTTCTTTGGTGACAATTTATCTTCTTGATTAGAGCAAATTTCCCTAGTTTGAATTCCATTTTGACATAACCCATAGGGGTTATGAGCACTCTTTCTCTACAATTGAAAAGCAATTTATATCAGTTTTTGCTTAACTGAATAGTTCTGATACTAATGAAATTATAAAGAATATGTATGATACCATATATATTACACTTATCTACCTATAATATTTATATCATATCATTGAATTGAGGTTATGTGATTTTTGACTGGTCTGTCAGAAATTTCAATAATTATGTGATAAATCAATTATCACAATACATAAACAGAATTTGCATTGCACATGACCTATATACTGAAAATAACTAATTAGTCATTAATATAATAATTTGTAAATTAAAAAAAAAAACAGTGCAATTATACTCACCTTTGCTGGTTTCGTATTAAATATGTGAATTTCCTAAAAGTAAAACATTACAAATTAGTACTAAATCATATTAGTTAAAATTCTCTTTGTGTAAAACATTAATATACCTATTCTGTAATACAATATCATCACTTAAGAAATACTCCACAATTCATTTTCTTTTCAACACTTAATCTTAATATGTGTTCTTATTTATCGATATGTGTTCTTATTTTCTTCTCGCATGTTTTCAAGCCTTGCTTGTTTTTTTTTTGGTGACAAAGGATTAATAATTTCTAATATATTATCTAACTTTGTATTTATCTTCTCTATTGGAGAAAATTTCCCTAGTTTGAAATCCATTTTCGTAGGGGTTATCAGCACTGTAATTTCTCTAATTGAAAACCAACTTATATCAGTTTGTGCTTAGCTAAATAGTTCTGATACTAATGGAACTATAAAAAATGAATATGTATAAAACTATATAACTTACTTCTCTTTATTCATATATCACTGAATTGAGGTTATGTTTCTGACTGGTGTGTTAGAAATTTCAATTATTACATGATAAATCAATTATCACAATACATGAACAGACTCTGCATTGAAGGCGGCCTATATACTGCAAATGACTAAACATTATTATAATAATTATAAATTAAAATATATTTCAGTACAATTAGACTCACCTTGTTTGCCGGTTTCATATTAAATACTTTTCCAGCTGACTGTTTAACTAATTTCTACAACTGATTTCGCACTAAATATAAAAGCAATTAATAAATAACGCTTCAATAAAGGAAATATCTTGCATTTCAAACATACACGATAAAATACTCAATTATGCGTCCACGATGCACTGACCGAGTTAACCTATATTTAATTTGACATTTCGATCATAAAACACTTCACGGCTATGTCAAAGGCAAATGTATGTGACCGTGCAACGTACCACGCCACGTACCGACAGATATGAACAAAGCAGTATTATTAAACGTTTAAACGCGTCGACGGTGGTTAAAGCTCACAAATACGTAACAGCATCGGTTCGTTTACTTAACATCAGTTTCGAAACGAAAGTTACAAAATGTGTTTAACGTGTGTGGTAACTTCTGTGGGTACTGGGATATAACTAAAAAGCCACTCAACATGTTTTTTGTTTGATTTGGATCCTCTGATAATAATAAGGAAATTTACAATATCACGAAATTATTGAACCATATTGTAGTCATTGAAGCGCCCAAAAAGAGAAAAGGCACAAGGTGCCAAAATTATGATCATTGCAAAAACATATTGCAATCGACCATTTGCTTGTGTCAAATGTGGAGAAAATCATAACTCAAAAATTTGCGAAAAACCAAAAAGTACGCCTGCTACGTGCGCATTTTGTCTTAAAGATCACCC